GACATCAAAAGCATATGCAACCCCCAAAATAGATAAGTTGGATTTTATCAAAATTAAAAACACTGGTGCTTCAGAGAACATCAACAAGAGAGTGAAAAGAAACCCCACGAAATGGGAAACAATTTGCAAATCATGTACCTTATAAAGGCCTTGTATTTTAGATAGAGAAAGAACTCTTTCAACTCAACAGTAAAAAGATAAATCAGTAAAAAATGGACAAAGTATTTGAATAGACATTTCTCTAAGGAAGACATACACATAAAAAAGTGATGAGCACTATTAGCCATTAAGGAAATATAAATCATTTTTGCACAATGATATAGGCAACAAAAGCAAAAGTAGACAAATGAGATTACATCAAACTGAAAAGCTTCTGCACAGCAAAAAAAACAAAAACAAAAACAAAAAACAAAAAACAAAAGAAACAACAACAACAACAAAAAAAACCCAAAAAAACAAAAAACACAAAACAACAGAGTGAAGAGGCAACCTATGGAATAGGAGAAATTGTTTGTAAACCATACATCTGGTAAGAGATTAACATCTAAGGAACATATAGAAGGAACTAAAACAACTCAATAGCAAGAAAATAAACAACCTGATTTAAAAACAGGCAAAGGATCTGAATAGACATTTCTCGAAAGAAGACATACAAATGGCCAACAGGTATATGAAAAATGCTCAACATCACTAACCATCAGGGAAATGCAAATGAAACCCACAATGAGATATCACCTCCTACCTGTTAGGACTATTATAAATAAGATTAAAGATAACAAGTGTTGGTAAGGTGGTGGAGAAAAGGAAACTCTTGCACACTGTTAGTGGGAATTTAAGTTAATATAACCATTATGGAAAACAGTATGAGGGTTCCTCAAAAAATTAAAAATAGAACTACCATATGATCCAGCAATACCATTATGGAGTATACATCCAAAGGAAACAAAATCAGTAAGTCAAAGAGATATCTGCACTCTCATGTTTATTGCAACATAATAGCCAAGATGTGGAAGCAACCTAAGTGCCCATCAGTGGATGGATGGATAAAGAGAATGTGGAGTATATACACAATGGAATACTATGCAGTCTTAAAAAAGAAAGAAATCCTGCCATTTGTGACAACATGGATGAACCTGGAGGACATTATGTTAAGTGAAATAAGCCAGGTACAGAAAGACAAATACTGCACAATCTCACTTATCTGTGGAATCTAAAATAATTGAACTAATTAATAGAAGTAGAGAATGGTGGATACCAGGAGCTAGGGTGGGGTGGTACTGGGGGGTTGGAATTGGAAAGATGATGGTCAAAGGGCACAGAATTTCAGTTAGATGGGGAATAAGTTCAAGATCTCTTGTACATCATGGTGACCACAGTTAACAACAATGCACTGTGTACTTGAAAATTACTGAGAGTAGATTTTGTGTTCTTCCCACAAAAAAATGGCAAGTATATGAAGTTAATGGATATGTTGATTAACATGACTTTGCCACTCCACAATGTATACGTATATCAAAACATCATGCTGTACACTCTACATATATACAACTTTTATTTGTCAATTAAAACATAATTAATTGGATGAAAATTCAAACAATAAAAAACACCACAATGAGATACCACTTTATACCCACTGATGATGGATACACTGAAACAGGGCAGACGACTGTTGGGAAGGATGTCGAGAAACTGGACCCCGAGCCTTTGCTGGTGGGAATAACATGGTGCAGGTACTTTGGAAAACTTTGGCAGTTCCTCAAAATATTACACGTAGAGTTACTGTTCTCCTAGATATGTACCCAGGAGAGCTGAAAACATACTAAAACAAAAACATGTGCATGTGTGTTCACAGAAGCATTATTTGTAATAGCCAAAAAGTGTGAACAACGTAAAGAGCCACCAACAGGTGAATGGATAAACAAAAAGTGATGTCCATATGATGAAATATGATTCATGCATAAGAAGGAAAGAAATTCTGACAGATGCCACAACATGGATAAATCTTGAAAACGTTATGCTAAGGGAAATAAGTCAGACACAAAAGAACAAATACTGTATGATTCCACTAACATGAGGTACTTAGAATAGGCAAATTCACAGAGGCAGAAAGTATGACAGCAGTTTCCATGGGCTAAGAGAAGGGGGAAATGGCAGTTATTGTTTAATGGGTATGGAGTTTCTGTTCAAGATAATGAAAAAATTCTGGAAATGGATAGTGGTGATGGCTGTGCAATATCATAAACATAACTGATGCCACTGAATTGTGCACTTAAAATTTTATATTATGTATATTCTATCACAATAAAAACTTAATAAACGTACTTCAATAAATGTACTTTATATTACTACCATATGTGGAAAACAAAAGAAATTTACTAGCGATACAATGAAAATAAAACACCGTTAGTAAGTTCTAGCTCTGATACAATCTCTGACCCTGAAGGCTTCCCTCTGAGTGGCAGGATAGCAAAATAGTCATAGATCCTAAAGTTAGACCCTCAGGGTATGGATCTTCAGCTCTTAACCTTTCTCAGCTGGGGACCTTGGACACATTAACTCCTCTGTGCCCTAGTTTCCTCATATATTAAATAGCCTCATAGGATCTTGTGAAGATTAAATGAGTTGAAACATACAAAGCACTTAGCACAATGCCTGGTATCTGGTAAGGTCAGTGCCTATCAGAGAGTTTAATGCTATTCCAGCACTGAACTAATCCTTTATCCTTAATCCTTTCTCTCAAGACTGGACTCAGACATCACCTTCTCCAGGAAGTCCTCCCTGACTTCTCCTTTCCCCCACTTTAGTGCCCTTCCTCCTCATTCCTACAGCATTTGGCACATCTCCATGTTCCTCCAGGCACTCCAGATATAAAATCTGATAATGTGTCTGTCTTCCACATGGCAGGGTTGTGTTTTTCCCCTCCGAATCCCTCATGCTTAGTGCAGGCATGGGGCCTCATGAACTCTCAATCAATAGAGAACGAGTGAATGAAGAAGAGGGGAAGGAGGTCTGGGACATCCTCGTAACCCCAAGGGACCTACAGGCGGGTGCTGTTTTATCAAGGGTGTAATATGCGTAATGCGTCACTCCAGCTTAGTGGAAGAAAAACACTTTCCTCTGCCCGATGATGAAATGCGATCCTGTGAGTGTTTCAGCCCAGGCAAAGGGGGCAACCTTTGGGGTGGGTTGAGTATGCACCTTTTTAGACTGCTCTCTGGTTTGCTCTTCTAGACCCAAAACCTTAGAAAATCAGAAGCAGGATCCAGCTCCTGGAAATGCGATTCCTTCCTTCTCTTTTGCCCTCTTTCAGCTCAAGCTCAGCTGGCACCTTCAGCCTCCCACCCTGGAGAGCTTCCCCGAGCAGGCACACTCACCCAGGCAGATGGGCGGCTTGCCTGTCCAGCTGCCATCCGCCTTGCAGGTGCGGTGCTCGGAGCCACCCTTGAGGGAGAAGCCCTCCTGACAGGAGTAGATGAGCGTGTAGCCCATGGAGGGCAAGTCCAGGGCTCCGACGTTGGCATGCGTTGGCGTTTCTGGCTGCCTGCAGTGGTGGGCTGGATGAGAGGAAAGACCTCGTTGGACCGGAGGAGATTAGGGGCTTCAGGGGCCCTTTTGACCATTCCTCTGTTCCTAGATAGAATATCCTCTTCCTTCCCCTTCTAGTCCCTTTCATGCCAAGCATCCCCCCTCCCTAATCCTCCGCCCTAACCCCAAGCTCTGTGTCTAGAGGAATGGCCAAGATGGAGATCATGTGGATATCGGCTTGGTTGACTCTGGGCATGGGGAACCTATGCTTGCAGCACTTCCTGAGGGGTAAAGGAGTAATTGGGTCAAAAGCTTGATCTCTCCACCCTGAGGCCTGGCCTTGTAGTTGTTAGTTTTTGCTGCCACTGGATAGTTTTTTTCTTTGCTAAGGCATAGGGACTGCCTTCCAGTATCAGAAAGGCTTTTGTGTGGAAGTCCTCTGTGAGGCCCTAACGCGTAAGGACTACAAACAGACTGATGTCGGTTCACATGGGGAGTTGTGAGCTCCCTGTCATTCAGAGGATTCAAGCATGTCCCAGATGCCCAGCTGGGGCAAGAGGAATTTTTCTGGGATGTGGGTGAAGTCTGCACTCACGGACACAGTCAGGCGGGGTTCCACTCCAGGTCAGGTTTGGGAGGCAGGTCCTGGTGGTGGAGCCTTGAAGCAGGTAGCCCTTTTGACAGCGGAAGAGGACTGTGCTTCCAACCTGTGGCAAGGACACAAAGTCCCATCGGCCCCTTCCTTCCAGCAGTGCTTCCTACATCTGTCCCTTGACCACTTTCCCACGGCCCAACTCCTCCCCTGCTGTGGCCTGCAAAACTCTTTTTCTGATTCTCTGCCTGGTTAAATTTTCTTCCTCCTTTGAGGCAGTTGATATGATGCCTCCTCCACAAGGCCTCATCTAATACCCTGAACAAAGTTATAATATTACACTCTGTTGTGGACACAGTGCCTGATTCAGAGTCAGAAGACCCTGGATCCGAGTTCTGGCTTCTGCATTTACTCAGGACAGGCTGTGTGGAACTCTGTAAACCTTAGTCTTCCTAAGGATAAAGTGGGGATGACCATCCTTGCCACAATCACACTGGAATGTTGTGACACTCAAATGTGATGGCGGATTTGACAGTATTTTACAAAATGTGAAGAAGAGTGTAAATTAATTATCGTGTGTGTGTCCCTTTCCTCGATGAAACTACGAATTCTTTAAGGATGGGAGACTTGTCTTTACAGATATGGCCCCCATAGAATCTGTTGAATGAACTGCCACCCTCCCTCCCCACTCTGCTCAGTTATGTTCCCTGTCTTAACCCCCCACCAGCCCCTCGCTGTACAACTCGACACTCCCGCAACTACAGTCTCCATCTCTCCCTACCCAATCCACTTGGTGTAATGTGGCTAGATCTGTTTCCTACACTGCAACTCGGATTATACTACTTCCCAGCTCAAATACTCATGTGTCCCTATTACCTACTGGAACATGGGCAAATGCAACGTGTAACTCTTAATTTCCACTCCCTTCTTCCATGCTGAACACTTTTTATCTTGGATTTCATCATTTGACTTAACAAATGACACCTTTATCCATGCAGTTGTGCAAATAAAAAACCTCCAGTCATCTTTGATCCCTTTGACCCCACAATCCATCCCATCAATGAGTCCTCTTGGTTCTACCTACAAAACATATCCTGAACAAGCGTTCAGGATCACTTCTCACCTTCTCTTTCCCTGAAGTCATGACAACAGTGTCCTCCTTGTCTAAGTGCTTCTATTCTCAATTGCCTGAGTCATATTTCAAATGAAGAATCAGATTGTGTCACCTTCAAATGGCATTTTGGATAAAATCCAAAATACTTATCATGGCTTCAAGGTCCTGCAGGACCTGTCCCACGCTGCTGCCTTTGCAAAAATTATGTGATAGCTGACATATACAAAGCAATATATGGAACACATATAAAGTATAATAATAAAATGGACATTTTAGATTGAATCCACATGCAACTTAAGCGCTAGAACGTTACGGACATGGTTGTAACGTCCTAGGGCCTCTTTCCCTGCTCTGTTCCTCAACACTCCTCCGTAGTAAAGGCGGTCTGGAAATTTGTGTTAATTTCCTTGCCTTGTTAAAAAACGATCCTATCACATATGTGCATACATATCTCTAAACAATTTAATTATGTTTTTGCTGGTTTTAATATTTATAAAAGTCGTGTCATGCCACCTTTGCCACTTGATAGTATGTTTCTAAGATGCATCCACGTCATGCAGAGCTGTAGTTCATTCATTTTCTTTGCTGTATAATAATCCATCACGTGACTATACCCACAACCTTTCCTGTTTCTTGGTAACATGTGCAAGAGTGTCTCTGGCATATGTGTGCAGAGGTGGAACTTTTGGGTCATAGAGTGTGTGAATGTTTAACTTTACACACCAGGACCAAGCTGTTTTCCACCCTAGCCTCGCTCTGGACTACATTTCCTTCTCCTCTCTCACAGGGCTGAAGACTTGCTAGCTGGCCTGTTTTCCACTCCCTTCTTCCACGCTGAACACTTTTTTGTCTTGGATTTCATCCCAGGCTGCTAAACACTTCCCTCAGCACTCCTTTGCAGCAGCCTTTCGTTCAGCCAGGAATGTCACCCTGCTCTACACAGGGATAGCCCTTCTCATCATGGAGGCCACAGTTCAAATGTCACCCTTCCCTAACTACCCTTCCTAAAATGGCAACCCACCCCGTTCACACCCCTTTATATCACACCGTGTAACATCTAGTGCTCTCAGAAGCTAGCTCGTTTATTTATTTACCATCTTCAGCCAGGCAGTTCCCTTCAAACAGGCACCCAGCCTGTCCTGTTCCCGCTGTATTCCTAGCACCTAGAACAGTTCAGTGCCATAAGCACGTGCCAAGTGAGTACAGACCGAGTGAATAAGTCACATTACTTGACTAGATCCCAGCCTGTCATGTCCAGGTTAGTCTGATATTTTCCTGGGCAAGTCTTGGACTCCAGCTAATTGTCTTGCCTTGAACACACCCATACTTTCCTCTTCTTCCTTTTCTCTGTTCAATGTATCCCAACCCAGACTGTCCAGGTTCTCTCCTCCCAAAGCTCATCGGAGATGTGTCCGCAGGGCCTGCGTCCTGATGGGCCAGACATGCCGACGGGCCTGCCACATGTGTGACACATGTTCATTGCCACTGTGCATGAGCCCAGTGTCTGTGGGTGGGGTGGGCACCCTGAGAACAGAGGTCTGTCTGTCTCACTCATTTCTGTATTTCCACAACCACCCGGCCCGGGATTGGCGGGAAGTGTTCGTGGAACTGCACGCCACTGTCCTTTCTCATCAGTTTCTCTGATGGATGTTAGGGTCCTTCTGTTTCTGCAGGGTGCTCCCATGGAGCACTGTTCAAAGAGGCAGAGGACTTTCTTTCTGCGCTTTCCAAGCTCTTGTCCTCCCCGAGTGCTGTCCTGAGGAAGGTCCCTGGGTCCCCTTTTTTTTTTTGAGATGGAGTCTCGCTCTGTCACCCAGGCTGGAGTGCGGTGGCGCGATCTTGGCTCACTGCAAGCTCCGCCTCCCAGGTTCACGCCATTCTCCTGCCTCAGCCTCCTGAGTAGCTGGGACTACAGG